GTGCCTTATACACCGAAAATACGGTATATGCTTTTATTAACTAGGATTATTCTACTAATTCCGAAACAGTTCGCGAATATTTAAATCACTGCGATATTCATTTATATTAATTGTACAGAAAACACAGTATTGAAGACAATCAATCCAAAATTATTATTTAAGCTAGAAATTTGTTTAACGATAATGAAGACAGTTTGGTAAATATTATCAACACAGTAAATTAGGTTAAGCATTATTATTATTATGTATATATATATTTATCTTTACACAAACGTGAAAATGAACTTGGTGCCAATTTACTTGTCAGTTAAGTGAAATTTATCCCTCTTGCAAAATAGTACAACTTTCTACGGAGGACAAAACAAAAACACTAAGTCCCCATAACACACACAAACAAATGATATTTATTTTTAAATGAGGTTTCTGTCCAGCAGTTGAGATCATATAACGGTAGGTAATGAGCTGATGTGTTTTGTTTGTACTTCTATACAAGATAATAATATTGACAAGGATGTTGAAAGTCGTATGAGGAGGATGGATACTAGGTAAATAATTTATTTGCACGTGCTATCCTGCAGTTGAGAACATGATTTCGAACACTTTGTTGTATATTTATATACACACATTTATATTAAGAAAACCAAAGTATTTGTGAGAGAGGAAAGCGTAAAAACGTATTTATTGTGATGAATATTGTTATCTAAATTAAGAACATTATGCTGAGAGAAGCGGTGCAACCACGACAAAACTACAAATATAACACCCAGTTGCAATTGTATCTTGATCTTGGAGGTAAGGATACGTCGTCTACCAGATTTTAACGTCAGTTTGCATGCTTGATATGTTGTAAATGCGGACATAAAAACCATATTTGGGTGTGAAACCCACCTTGATATGTTGTAAATGCGAACATAAAAACCATATTTGGGTGTGAAACCCACATCGTCCCATTTCTAAACCATATTGCACTGTCTCTAGCCAGGTTGTGGAAATGTGGATGCTTAAAAAGGAAGAAATACATATAAATTAAAAAAAAACAAATCGGCAGATTATTAAAACAAACCCCGGGGGTGATAAATAAAATGTATTCCCTGGGGTAAGTATTCGAAATATTAGTGGAAGAGAGGGCAACTAAAGAACCATAGTTAAGGTTTATAAGTGCTATTGCACTAAATATATTAAAGTATTCCAAACTGTAGTTCCTTTATATCCATTCGCCACCCTTAATTAACGGGCTACAGTGTTATAATGCAGATAAAGGATGAAGCATGTGTTTGTTTGTTCGTCTGTTTATATTTACATATAATTTTAAGTAATTGCAATATATTTCATATTCGTAACACTAGACTTTCCAGGTTTTTGATTTCGTACAACGATTTTTGTCGCTTTTTTTATTTGTATATTAAAACATTTTCATTGTATGGTACACAAGTTCCGTTAAAATATTTAAGACTGCTTTTTTTTTGTTCATATCTCACATGCTGTTTTCGTATTTTTCGGGAAAATGGTTTATAGGCACAAGGCTAATGGTATCTTGCTGTAATCCAATTTGAATAGTTTATGGTTATGTTGACTTCGATAAGATGTCAGTGTTATAAAAGCTGGTAACCTCTTAGTCGAAATATTTGCGAATACATGTAATGTTATGTTGGGTGTTTAATAATGAGATAATTTGTATTTACTTATCATTTTGTATATATCAAAACACTAGCATATATATGTCATATGAAGTACGTGTGTGTAACTGAAACTGAGAAAAATCCTTTAACCCATACAGTCATATATATATATATATATATATATATAT